TTTTTTCCACGAGTATTTCTACAGTCACACACTCCAGCAAATTATCCACCACCCTTGACATTTTCTCCACTTTCTTATAACAAAAGTTTTTATCTATGTACAAGGCCACACCACCTCCCATCTTATTCTCTCTGTTTGTGCATACCAAGTCATAGCCATCAAGGTCAAAATCCATTCCATTTTATATGTTTACATGGTCAAGCAGCATGGTAGCACTGAAAAACTAGGTCAGCATAATCACTCCCCTCTTTCTTCCCTCACCCTTTTCCTTCTATTGCTGTCAGAGGGTGACAAACACCTGCTTTCATCTTTATTTTTAGTGTCAGTGGAAATTCAGAGCTGGCACTTTCTCAGGTGTTTAGCCCATGTTTGATGGCACTTTATTTGATAAATATTAAGTTTTGTAATAGGCTCACTTTTAATGTTTAAAGTTTTGCTTTATGTTCTGCCTGCATTGTGTTTTGTAAAGCATAAAGTTAGCTGAATGAATATCTTTTAACTAAAAGTCTTTTTTGCGATGTGATAACACGTGACAGGTGTCACAGTAACACTGTAGTTTATAGTTGATTACTTTTTCTCTTGGCTTTTAACTTTCTGCATCTGTGCTGCTCGTGTGTTTGAGACCAACTAACCAATGCTTAATACTTGATCTTAATATTTTCAGTGTCACCCTACTACCTGAAATGTCTGGAAGATTATAATGCATTAATATTATGATATATGAGTATAGTTAAGTCAGTAGAGTTTTTTTTCCATGCCTCCCTCCCATTTAATTTGACTCTGCAGGTGAATGCAGACTGCAACTCTGCAGAAGAATGTGATTATTGATTTGCAGCTGAACGTCCTGTGTCTTCCCTCTAGGTGTTTTGGGATGCTGCTAAGTCCAGGACAGAAAGTGTCTAACAGTGACATGCATCTACTGGACATGGTGAGCAGCTTAACTCATTTTATTGGTGAGATACAGTTTACAGAATCAGAGTCATCGTTTATGGTAAGGTCTGTTTGAACATACAGGAATTTGACTCAGGTACAGAGGCTCTCCATGTGTTTATGGCAACAGGAAATAGAAAATATCAAGAAGAATAAAAATGAAAATAAACAGTGTCTGCATGCATTCAAATAGGAAATACAGTATGTGCAATCAAAATAGGAAAAGAATGAGAGGAAAAGAGGGACAGCATTTATAAATATATGTACATATTTATCATAGACTTCTTACAAGAACATAAGCCATGGATTAATACTTACACAGGAGTCGATGGGGAAGAGCTCGGATGGGAAGGCCTATGTCATCACAGGAATGTGGAATCCCAACATGACAGCCTTCCAGCCACTGTATGAAGACACACATAAAGGTAAGGATGAGTTTTTTTTTTTCTCCTTCACATATAATGGCACACATTTTACAGTAGTCAGCACAAGATTATACGATGGTTGTTTCATCAGTGTTCAGAACAGCTTTACGCATTGATTGTTAGCATTTTAATGTAACATGCAAAGCTAGCAAACCTTTGACATTGCAGGTCTCATAATTTTACATTAACTTACAACTATTTATAAAGATATGTTTCAAGATGACAATTTAAAAATTCTCTCTTTAGTCATTCTTGTACATAATTTATTAGGTTACAGTAAAATTTTTCTTAGTAATCAGTTCTAATGGAATCTACCATTGCCTGTTTACTCCTCTATGGAGGAGAAACTCAAATTAATTAATGTTGTCATAGTTCATTGTGCCTTCCACCTTCGACACAACACTGGCAGCAGGAGTTGTGCGTGTTCACTAACTGTCCTCTTGTTTTTAGGAAGATGCTCTCTGGTTTTATTGTTCTGAAATAATTACAAACTATTTGGAGTTCTGATGGGTGCAAAGCTAATCTAGGTGTACCCAAGATTAAACATGAAATGGCTGTAAATGAGCAAAAGGAGCAGCCATGGTCACTTTAATATTACGTGCTTATCCACTAGGAGGTGTGGCATTCCCATAGGATACATGGCCTGAAACGTCTGCCTCCCCGTAGAAGCCAGTAATAGAAAACTCTCATCAGTTTACAGTTACATGAATGAATTGAGTTTTGTTTATCATTTGTAATTCACCCTTTTTAATCAGTAGGAGGCGATAGGTAAATGGGCTTCACTGACTGAAATCTGTTTTCTTTTTTTATATAGACAGATTCATATTATAGTGAAAGATAAAAAGAGTCTCACATAATGCCTCCAAGGTAACCTTGCTTTTTCTCCCGGATGTGGTCCAGATAAGCAAGTCTACATAACAGTGGCAGTGGACCTGGTAGTGACTGAAGTGGTGGAGCCAGTTCGCTTTCTGCTGGAAACTCTGGTCAGGGTCTATTCATCAAATGAACGCTTCTGGTACTTCAGTCGAAAGACCTTCAGTGAGACCTTCTACCTCAAACTCAGACAGGTATCTCTACTGCATATTTTCATACTTGGCATATACAGTACCCACAATTATATTTAAATATCTATTTAAAGCTTCCTTCATCTGACTGATTGACCAACTAAAGAAGTATTGTGTTTATTTTTATGTGGGTGATTTCAGGTAAGTTCTGTAATTTCTGGTGGTAGATTATTGGGTTTGAAAGGTTTTAACCCATGGGGTGGGTTTCTGGTTGGTTCATATGAGTGAATAAACACCTGCTTAAAACCAAAAGTGAATAAACTAACAAGTGAGTGTGATATCACAGGTTCGATAAAGCTAAGAGACATGTCTAAAAGTTTCACTTAGAAGTACTTATATAATAACTGTATTAAAATTCAGTTTTTATATTTA